CTTTTAGCTACCACTATCTTGTTTGTTGCAGTAACTGAATGTTATTTCAGTCTGACAGCTGTTTAGTTTCTTTGGTGAGCTAAGTAATTCAGCACTGCCCAGTGGCAATTGTTGCCTCAGTTTGGAAAGAAAGAAAGGAAGGAGGAAAGAAAGGAAGGAGGAAAGAAAGAAGGAAGGAAGACCATCCCATCCCTGTCACCAGCCAAACGGCTGTGAATCAACAGTCTGTAGAGTGGTTTATCTCGTTCACTGCAAGTTAGCACTGCCTACAGGTCCCAGATCTGCAACGAGTGATATAAATGTCTGACTCATATACGTTCTTGTAGGCACCTTCTTCTTTAACGTCTCATTTCCAGGGCTTCTTAGAAATAGCAATAATATGTTTTACCTGCCTCTGCTTGAGAACTTTTACTCAATGTGAAATGAGCAACACAGACATTGAACTTGTTGAGGCTGGAAAGGACTTGTAGAAAGGTCTTGACCTTGTGCCCTCTCTACACACTTGAGGGGTGTAAATAGCAAGCTAAATAAATAGGAAGTTATCCAAGTCCTTACTTCCTTCGGAGCATGCGAGGCACTGTGCTTTTCCCTTCAGTTCTGGGTGCAGAGATCGCATAAGCACCAAAACAAGTCACTAGGAGGAAGGAGAATGGGCATTACGTTGTTTTGGAAAAAGAAAAAAAAAAAAACAGAAAGAAAAATATACTGTACAATCCAGTTAAGATAATTAGTAGATTACAGATAGATTGATGTAAGCGTTTATTCCATTTATGCTAGGCTGTTTCTTAAAATTTGCATTGAGCATTAAGAAGAAATCTTCAGTCACGGAAAAGGTGTGATGTGTTGAGGCTGCATTTATACAGGCTCATGTGCATGTATATATACAGATTATGTAATTTTCTTCCCCTAGGGACTCAATAGATCTTGATAATCCACAGGAGAACATTAAGGCCACCCAGCTCCTGGAGGGCCTGGTGCAAGAGCTGCAGAAGAAGGCGGAGCACCAGGTGGGGGAAGATGGGTTTCTACTGAAGATCAAGCTGGGGCACTATGCCACGCAGCTCCAGGTGGGTGTGGACTCGGGGCACACTTAATTCTTGTCCTGTGGGGGGCTCATTCCTTCTTTGAGTGCTTCCTAGAGAGACTTTCTTTCTCTTCTTCAAGCCAACATTGCTCAATTATATGTTACATGCACAGGGTTCTTATGGTTTGGTTTTGTGGTTGTGGACTTTTTTAAAAGAGCCTTTTTATTTGAAAATAAATCTAAAACTTACAGAAAGTTGCAGGAATGATACAAAATCCCTACCTATGCCCAGATTCACCTAATGTTGCCATTTGCTTTGACCTATTCTCCCTGCTCTCTTCACACACACACACACACACACACACACGCACACACACACACGCACGCGTGCACACACACACAGTTTTCAGTCACTTGAACATCATGTCCCTGCACCCCTGAGTGACTCAATGTGCATTCTCTAGGAATATGAACCTTCTCTTCCATGGTTACAACGCACTTATCAACTTCAGTAAATTTAACATCGATACAAGACTTTCAGGTACTCTTCTGTATTTTCATTTTGTCAACTAACTCAAAAATGTTGTTTAGGACATTTTTATCCTCCTGCAGTCTGGGGTCCAGTCCAAGATTGCATATTGCATCTAGTCGTCACGTCTCTTTAATCTCCTTTAATGGGGGATCGATTCGCAACTTTACTTTGTCTTTCAGTATATTGACATTTTAAAATAATTCTCCTTACTTTTTAAAGATAAAATGTTCCACATTTGGGATTTGTCTGATGTTTTCTCATGATGAGATTCA